TGAACTCTGCAGGCAGGAGGCAAGCTGCAGCCCAGAGGCAGAAGCCTGGCATCACCCTAGTCTTGACACTGATGGACGGCTAAGCTGTGCTTGGAGTTTGACATAAAGAAATGCTAACACACAGCTTTCCCCTAGGAGTAGCCAAAGACACGCTAGCTAGCCTTCCCCAGTAGAAAGTGCCACGGACAGTCTGTTAATGCCCAGGACTTCATCTCTGGATAGCAGACCGTCGGACCCCAAGCCACGCCCTGTGCGGGCCCCTCTCACGGCAGGTCTGGCAGGGAGTTACTCAGGGACTTAGCTCAGTGCAGGAGCCAAGACTGGGGGCAGCCACCAGAGAAGGGTGGACTTGTCCTGAGACTATCCCTGATGGACAAAGAAACCACAGCAGAAAGGGGGGGGGGGAGGGGAAGAAGGGGATGGGAGAACATCTTGTTTCGTAAAGTCCCATTGATGTAGGGGTTGGCTGACCTCCCTGGGGTGTCAGCTGAGTCTTTGTGAAACTTCAGAGAACCCCACAGAGCAATGCAGCCTTCAGGGGATTCCTTGACCTTCACCAGGGATAAGACCCCCATGGTTTGAGTTTTCCTCTCATTCCAACCTGTTTGCAGAACTTTCATTCCTTAATGTTGGGGTGGGGGTAGGGGGTGGGATGAGAGGGCACAACACAACTCAAAGTGAATAAAGACAGATGCCAAAGTCACGCCCACCCCACTGGAGATGCCTGCTGGCTTCATCACCATGACAAAGAACATGTCGGCCAGTCCCAGGGAGGGAAGAAACTTGCAGTGTCCTAAGTTCTATCAGTGGCCTCAATCCATTTCCACCACCACCCACACTTGTGCTAGTTTTTGTTGAGCTGGGGAGGTAAGAATGATTCTGACATTAAAAAAAAAAAAATTAAAAAGCAGGGACAGAGCGATGACTCAAAGCTGCTGCCCGCAGAGCCCTGGGCTCATCAGGGCTCTGTATGAGCGCCAAGCTCTGCCCCAGCAACTCACACAATGGGCTAACACCTGTCGAATGTGGCCGGATAGGCACTGTCCCTCCCACACAGCTCGGGTGAGACTAATGCCCAGGAGTAGATTTTGCAGAAGGGAGATACAGAAGAAAAGACATCGTTCATTTCTCCTTTTTAACCCTTCAAACGGCTGCTGTATCTTTGGTGCACTCTGACATGTACTGCACGGGGACTCCAAGTCACTGATCGCCTGGGTCAAAACGCAGAATTGAAAACAAGTTAGTGCCAAGCGGCAGGGAGCAGCGGGAAGAGGGGAAGGGGGGCATCTAGGGGGCTGCGCGGAGATCCCGCCCTTACAGGCAAGTTGGGGGCAAGCACTGTCAGAAGAGAAGGCAGGTGAGCTTCGGTGTGGGTGGACGGTGTGAACAGGATAAAACTGGAGGTCAGAGGGGCCCCTTTCAGTAAAGACTGGATAAAAGTCTTTACTGAAAGACTGGATAAAAAAAAAAAACTCATTTGGGAAAAAACGTAAACCAAAGGGGGATCGCTCTGGCTTCTGATTTGCAGAGGTCAGAAATGCTGCACCCACCGGGACGCAGCAGCTCCTCTCCCTCCTCTTAACCGGGCCAGGTTCGCAGTCCCTGCCCAGCAGTAGGCAGCAAGCGCTGGCCACTCGGCGGAGGGTCAGCTGCCGCCCTCTGCGCGTGTACCCTGGAGCAAGGGCCGCTGAGCTCCGCGCCAAGGCAGGGTGCGGCACCAGGCACCGGAGGGTCGCCAGGGCCTTCTCGGGAGAGCAGAGGGCGCTTGCCCGAGACCGAGCAACCCAGTGACCCCCAACTTTCAGCACCGTCGCCCCAAGCGCTAGGGCCTCGCCAGCCACCGCTGGGCGCCCAGAGAGGATGGCCACGGGCCGTTACAGGGAGCAGTCGGGAGCGCACGTGGCGAGAGACTGTGGGCGCCTGTCCCAGGAGCGGGGTTTGCCCGGCTGCACTAGGGTCCGCCCGTCCAGGAGCGGGGATCTGCCTGGGTGCACGGGGGTCCGCCCGTCCCAGGAGCGGGATCTGCTTGGGTGCCCGGCGGTCCGCCCGTCCCAGAAGCGGGGTCTGCCTGGGTGCACGGGGGTCCGGCCGTCCCAGGAGCGGGATCTGCCTGGGTGCACGGGGGTCCGCCCGTCCCAGGAGCGGGGTCTGCCTGGGTGCACGGGGGTCCGCCCGTCCCAGGAGCGGGGTCTGCCTGGGTGCACGGGGGTCCTCCCGTCCCAGGAGCGGGGTCTGCCTGGGTGCACGGGGGTCCGCCCGTCCCAGGAGCGGGGTCTGCCTGGGTGCACGGGGGTCCGCCCGTCCCAGGAGCGGGGTCTGCCTGGGGGCACGGGGGTCCGCCCGTCCCAGGAGCGGGGTCTGTCTGGGTGCATGGGGGTCCGCCTGTCCCAGGAGCGGGGTCTGCCCGGGTGCCCGGTGGTCCGCCCGTCCCAGGAGCGGGGATCTGCCTGGGTGCACGGGGGTCCTCCCGTCCCAGGAGCGGGGTCTGCCCGGCTGCACGAGGGTCCGCCCGTCCCAGGAGCGGGTCTGCCTGGGTGCCCGGTGGTCCGCCCGTCCCAGGAGCGGGGATCTGCCTGGGTGCACGGGGGTCCGCCCGTCCCAGGAGCGGGTCTGCCCGGGTGCACGGGGGTCCGCCCGTCCCAGGAGCGGGGTCTGCCTGGGTGCACGGGGGTCCGCCCGTCCCAGGAGCGGGGTCTGCCTGGGTGCACGGGGGTCCTCCCGTCCCAGGAGCGGGGTCTGCCTGGGTGCACGGGGGTCCGCCCGTCCCAGGAGCGGGGTCTGCCTGGGTGCACGGGGGTCCGCCCGTCCCAGGAGCGGGGTCTGCCTGGGGGCACGGGGGTCCGCCCGTCCCAGGAGCGGGGTCTGTCTGGGTGCATGGGGGTCCGCCTGTCCCAGGAGCGGGGTCTGCCCGGGTGCCCGGTGGTCCGCCCGTCCCAGGAGCGGGGATCTGCCTGGGTGCACGGGGGTCCTCCCGTCCCAGGAGCGGGGTCTGCCCGGCTGCACGAGGGTCCGCCCGTCCCAGGAGCGGGTCTGCCTGGGTGCCCGGTGGTCCGCCCGTCCCAGGAGCGGGGATCTGCCTGGGTGCACGGGGGTCCGCCCGTCCCAGGAGCGGGTCTCCCTGGGTGCACGGGGGTCCTCCCGTCCCAGGAGTGGGGTCTGCCTGGGTGCACGGGAGTCCGCCCGTCCCAGGAGCGGGGTCTGCTCGGGTGCAAGGGGATCCTCCCGTCCCAGGAGCGGGGTCTCCCTGGGTGCACGGGGGTCCTCCCGTCCCAGGAGTGGGGTCTGCCTGGGTGCACGGGAGTCCGCCCGTCCCAGGAGCGGGGTCTGCCTGGGTGCATGGGGGTCCGCCTGTCCCAGGAGCGGGGTCTGCCCGGGTGCCCGGTGGTCCGCCCGTCCCAGGAGCGGGGATCTGCCTGGGTGCACGGGGGTCCGCCCGTCCCAGGAGCGGGGTCTGCCCGGCTGCACGAGGGTCCGCCCGTCCCAGGAGCGGGTCTGCCTGGGTGCCCGGTGGTCCGCCCGTCCCAGGAGCGGGGATCTGCCTGGGTGCACGGGGGTCCGCCCGTCCCAGGAGCGGGGTCTGCTCGGGTGCAAGGGGATCCTCCCGTCCCAGGAGCGGGGTCTCCCTGGGTGCACAGGGGTCCTCCCGTCCCAGGAGTGGAGTCTGCCTGGGTGCACGGGGGTCCGCCCGTCCCAGGAGCGGGTCTGCCTGGGTGCCCGGTGGTCCGCCCGTCCCAGGAGCGGGGATCTGCCTGGGTGCACGGGGGTCCGCCCGTCCCAGGAGCGGGGTCTGCTCGGGTGCAAGGGGATCCTCCCGTCCCAGGAGCGGGGTCTCCCTGGGTGCACAGGGGTCCTCCCGTCCCAGGAGTGGAGTCTGCCTGGGTGCACGGGGGTCCGCCCGTCCCAGGAGCGGGGTCTGCCTGGGTACACGGGGGTCCTCCCGTCCCAGGAGCGGGGTCTGCCTGGGTGCACGGGGGTCCTCCCGTCCCAGGAGCGGGATCTGCCTGGGTGCACGGGGATCCGCCCGTCCCAGGAGCGGGGTCTCCCTGGGTGCACGGGGGTCCCCCCCGTCCCAGGAGCGGGGTTTGCCTGGGGGCACCGGGGTCTGCCCGTCCCAGGAGCGGGGTCTGCTCGGGTGCACGGGGGTCCGCCCGTCCCAGAAGCGGGGTCTGCTCGGGTGCACTGGGGTCCGCCCGTCCCAGGAGCGGGGTCTGCTCGGGTGCACGGGGGTCCTCCCGTCCCAGGAGCGGGGTCTGCCTGGGTGCACGGGGGTCCGCCCGTCCCAGGAGCGGGATCTGCCTGGGTGCACCGGGGTCCGCCCGTCCCAGGAGCGGGATCTGCCTGGGTGCACGGGGGTCCTCCCGTTCCAGGAGCGGGGTCTGCCTGGGGGCACCGCGGTCCGCCCGTCCCAGGAGCGGGGTCTGCCTGGGTGCACGGGGGTCCGCCCGTCCCAGGAGCGGGGTCTGCCTGGGTGCACGGGGGTCCGCCCGTCCCAGGAGCGGGATCTGCCTGGGTGCACCGGGGTCTGCCCGTCCCAGGAGCGGGGTCTGCCTGGGTGCACGGGGGTCCGCCCATCCCAGGAGCGGGGTGCACAGCCCCCGGGGGCGTCTCCGTGCACGGGCCCGCGGGTGGAACCGCTGCAGCCGTGCGGGGCGGAGCCTTCCGGGCGGCCCGAAGCTGGTGACGTCATCGGCGGGCGTCGCCCTCGCCCGGGGCTTTAGGCGTCCACGGCGCCTGTGGGCAGCAGCGGGCGTCGGCGGCCGGCCCGGCGGCTCCGGACAGCGCGGCCCCCGGCGGGCACGGCCGACTCGGCGTGCCCTGGGCGGCGTCGTGTCCCGCGGCGGCGGCGGCGGCCCGTTTCCCGCCGCGCTCGGGTCAGGCGGCGCCGCGGGCAGCCCGGCGCGGGGGCGGGGCGGCGGGCGGGGTCCTGGCTGGCGCGCGTCGCGCGGGGCCGCGCCGGGCGGCGTCTGTGCTGGCGCCCGCGGCCGCGCTCCGGAGCCCTTGGCCGGCCCGCGGGCTCCGCGTGCGCGCATGGGCCCGCCCGGGCGCGGCGGCGGCGGCAGTAGGCGAGGGGCGCGCCCGCCCGCGGCACCATGATGCCCGGGGAGACGCGGCCGGCGGCGCCCGGGACGGCGGCCGAGCTGACGCGCTGCCAGGGCTGCGCGTCGCTGCAGCAGGTGCGCCGGGCCGGGGCCAGCCCGCTCGGGGGGGGGTCGGGATCGGGATCGGGGATCGGGGGTTGGGGTCGGGGGTTGGGATCGGGAGATCGGCCTGGGGGGGGGTCGGGCTCGGGGGAATCGGGGTCGGGCTGGAGGGGCGCCCCTCCTCTGCGCCCTTCCCGCCCCGCCCCTCCCTCTCCTCAGGCTCCCGCGGAGACGCCGTGTGAGTGAGTGTGTGTGTGTGTGTGTGTGTGTGTGTGTGTGTGTGTCTGTGTCTCAGAGCTGGACTGCTTGTGTGCGTGAGAGAGAGCGAGAGATCTCTGCTGGGCTGTGTGTGTCAGAGATCGAGAGTGAGCTGGTGTGTGTGTGTGAGAGACAGAGCAAGAGCACTGGGCTGCGTGTGTGAGAGAGCGGGGCTGTGTGTGTGTGAGAGAGGGAGGGAGCTGACTGTGTGAGAGTGTGTGTGCGTGTGTGTGTCAGAGAGAGATCTGCTGGGCTGTGTGTGTCAGATCAAGAGAGAGCTGGTGTGTGTGTGTGTGTGAGAGAGAGAGAGGGAGCTGACTGTGTGAGAGTGTGTATGTGTGTCGGAGAGAGAGAGAGATTTGCTGGGCTGTGTGTGTCAGAGATCAAGAGCGAGCTGGTGTGTGTGTGTGTGTGTCTGTGTCTCAGAGCTGGACTGCTTGTGTGCGTGAGAGAGAGTGAGAGATCTTTGCTGGGCTGTGTGTGTCAGAGATTGAGAGCGAACTGGTGTGTGTGAGAGAGAGACAGAGAGACTGGGAGCTGACTGAGAGTGTGTGTGCGTGTGTGCGCGTGTGTGTGTGTGTGTGTGAGAGAGAGAGAGAGATCTGCTGGGCTGTGTGTGTCAGATCAAGAGAGAGCTGGTGTGTGTGTGTGTGAGAGAGAGAGAGAGAGGGAGCTGACTGTGTGAGAGTGTGTATGTGTGTCAGAGAGAGAGAGAGATTTGCTGGGCTGTGTGTGTCCGATCAAGAGAGAGCTGGTGTGTGTGTGTGTGTGTGTCAGAGAGAGAGATCTGCTGGGCGGTGTGTGTCAGAGATCGAGAGCGAGCTGGTGTGTGTGTGTGTGTGTGTGTGTGAGTGTGAGAGAGATCTGCTGGGCGGTGTGTGTCAGAGATCGAGAGCGAGCTGGTGTGTGTGTGTGAGAGACAGAGCAAGAGCACTGGGCTGCATGTGAGAGAGAGAGGGAGTGCTGGGTTATGTGTGTGTCAGAGAGAGCGCGTGAGCTGGTGTGTGTGCGTGTGTGTGTCAGCTTGTGTGTGTGAGAGCGGGGACTGTTTGCGGGCTGTGGCCCGAGAGGCCCCCCTCCGCGCGATCGCAGCAGGTTGGGGGGCTGCGCCGCCTTGTTGAGGCGCCACGGTGTGAGTGCTGGGAGCCTGTCAAGCCTGGCAGCCTGCGTGGATGAGGGGGCTCGGGGCGGGTGCCTGGGCCGGGCCACTCTGGGGGTGCCTTGAGGCTGGTTCCGGGCAGGCAGCTCGGGGCCCCCTGTCCGTGTGGGGCTGCCCCTGAGGCAGGGAGGGGGCGTCCAGAAAGGAGCTGCTGCCCACGGGCCGTGAGGGCAGTCGAGGTGCTGAGCTGGGGCAGGGAGGTGACGGACGGGTGCGCGGAGCTGCTGGAGCGATGCAGAGCGGGGAGCCCCGGGCCTCGGGGTCACCCCAGCTCCGGGGAAGAGTGGGCCGAGGGCGCCGTCCTGGGGGGCGGCCACCATATCCAACATCCGGCAGAAGCGGGACGGGCTGGCTGGGAGTTGGGGGAGAACAAGCCCAGGGCTAAGCCAGGGAGTGGCGACAGGTTGGGGGCAGGCAGGAACCGGGCACCGAGGGCAGGAGCTCCCGGCCGGACAGCGGCTTTCTGTCAGCCGCAGTCTGTTCCGTGTTCACGAGCCAAGCACGTGTGTTCTGTGTATCCTATGCCATGGTGTGTTCTGTGTTCCATAGACCACAGCGTCTTCCGTGGACGATGTGCCGTGGTGTGTCCTATGTTCCATAGACTTAAGCATCTTCTGCGTTCAGTGGCATGTTCTGTGTACCGTGTGCCATGGTGTGTTCTTTGTTCCATGTGCTCCTGCACACGGGTACGCCAAGATAGTCCTGTGCTCCTCTGGCACCTCTCCGACAGTAAACTTGTGTGAGGGAAACTGAAGAGGCGTCTCCGTGCAGGAGATGCTCCATCAGGGCTCGTCTCCGACCTCAGAGATGGGCACGGGAGCCCCAGCTCTTCCTGGCCTTTCTTCCGGCTGCCTCCCGTTTACCCGGCGCGGCTTGAGGGGATTCAGTATAGCCGTGCCGAAGGCTCTTCCCTGCCCCATCTTCGTGGGTCTCGCTCACCCCTCTGCGGTTGGAGCTCTGCTGCTCAGCTGGTCCCGTGAGCAGGGCTTGGACAGGAGAAGCCAGTGGAGACCTTTGGCAAATTCTGTGCCACTGGGCGAGGCTTAGGGTTGGTGTCTAGCCTAGCGGGCTGAGTGCTGTGTCTGGTGGGGCCCGGCCCCTCTTGCCCGCTCCCTTCCCCTGGTCAGTGCCAGACTGTGGCTGAGCTGCCGAACGTGCAGGCTCACACTTTGAGCTCCTGTGACTTAGTAGGTTCCGTCAGTGTGGGGGCCAGTGCTCTTGAGCTGAGCAGACTTGTGCTGGGTCCCCGTGATGACAGACAGGGTTTGTCATTCAGACCACACGTGTACCCCGAAGATCCATGGAGTGTGGTGAGTTCTGAGGGATGCTCACTGCCTGACGCATTAGCCAGCATCCATCCATGGTGGTCTGTGGTGCTGGGGTAGGGAAGGTGATGGAGTGGAGAGCCTTTGGGGCTCCACAGGAGGGGTACACCCACGGTGTGCACAGGGAGTGGACGGTCCAGGGCTCCTGGGTCCACACAGGTGCTCCGGAGCCCGATGAGTTAATGTGCACAGAGTCTTGGGAGTGATGGGTGGAGACGGAGGAGCTGGAGTGTATGGCACTGTGGGTGGACGGCTGTGGAGCAGAGGATGGACAGTCACGGCTGCAGCGTGGCTGAGGGGAGGAGGTGTCTTATCTCTTCGGTGCTGCAGAGAGGTCTGCAGAGAGCTCAGGGCTCCAGGGGGCTCTGCAGAAACTGGAGAGCAGGGAGAGGGGCACTGGATCCAAGTGGCACAGTCAGCCCCGTCACCCCAGCAGAGCAGTGAGCGTGGTCAGCGGCAGGTCACCCCGGCAGAGCCTCTCGATGCATTTGTGTTTTGTATCAGTGAGAGGCCCTTTCCACGCAGAAGGCCACTGGCCGCTGTGTCCCGGCCTGCCCACTCCCTAGTATCCTTTTGAGTCACAGTGCCTAGAGTCTGTGCACAGGAACGAATTTTAGGCTTAACAAGGATATAACTGCACAAGGTAAAGCGTAAAGGGGCCAGGAAAACACTCAGGAGTGTGTGTGTGCCTCTCAGGTCGGGTAGGGCCTGCTAAACTCCCAGGGAACCAGCACTTAGCAATGATGAGGCTCGAGCGATGTGGCAGTTGTCCGCAGCATCTGTGGTTCTGCTTTGCACAGCAGCTGACCTGCGTGTCTGCTCATGTGACATTTGAGAGCTGCTTCTGCCACTCTACTCAGCTCATGAAGTGCGGCAGCAAAACTGGAGGCGTTCTCAGACTCCCCAAGAAAGCTCAGTAACTCAGAGCACGGCTCTAAGGCCATGGCAGAGAGGCTGACTGGACAGATGGAGGCAGCCTCGGAAAAGCAAGCCTCCTGTGCTGCTTGGGAGACCCGAGGGGCTGCCCGTGTCTGCCTGACACTTCCAGTAATGATGCCGAAAGGATGCAGGCGAAATTCACGGGCTACAAAGGAATCTGCTTTTTACTTCATGACTTTTTGTTAATAAGTATGTCATATGTAGGACTGCAGAGAAAATGCACATATTCTTGTGAAAGGAATCACTGCTTTAATTCTCATGATCGCTTGAATCACCAAAGGAAAAAGACATGTGTGGGGGTAATTATCAGTGAAGATTCACCTTAGTCTGAACGATACTCTCACCTCGTTGCCCGTGTTGGGAGGGAAGCCTGGTTATGTTAGAAGGAAGTTTTTCCTCCTGGCCACATTTGGCAGTGCTCGGGGCTGATTCCTGGCTCTGAGCTCAGGAATCACTTCTGGCACTGCTCAAGAGACCATCTGGGTGCCAGGATTGAACCCAGGTTGGCAAGCGCCCTCCCCACTCTACTGTTGCTCAGGTCCCTGTTGTGGAAGTTGGATTGCAAATAGAGAATGAAGACATCAGCAGGGCAAGGTCACTTCGAATCATGTTAGATCCTAGGAACGTTTACCCATGTGATAGGAAGGTCTCCTGTGCACTTGGTGACAATAGTTGCAGCCACGTTTGCAGAAGTCCCCTCACGTTCCACCGTCTTTTGGCTTCATCTTGATGTTCGTCTTCCTTCTTCTCACGGTCTCTCCCTTGTGCTCTGCTGTCTGTCAGAGTGGAGCCGTCTGTCTGGATTGCCTGTGTACTGCGTGAGGCGGGGCCCCTGGCCGAGGGCAGCGAGTGTTGGTGCTGCGTGGCCGCTGCGGGAAGGAGACACAGCTGCCCATGCAGCCTCATGCCACACGCTGGCCAGACCCAGTGGAGGCGCCCAGAGATACTCAGAGTTGAAGGGATCAGGTTTGAATAAAGAACTAACTAGCTTTTTCTTTTTTTCCCAGAATTTAAATGAATATGTTGATGCATTAATTACCTTGAAGCAAAAAATCATTAATACGGAGTGAGTATGCATTCTTGATTTGGGCTGAACTTGGGGAAGCTTCCTGACTGGATTATGGTATTGGTGGACAGCTGGGAGAACCAGGATTTCTCTCTGGGCCTGTCTGGGGGGAGCTATTGGCCTGGCTGGTCACTGTGCCCCTGGGCTCAGAAGTGGTTTTAGTAATCTGGAAGCTTTCCTAAAGCCAGAGCTTTCTCAGGAAGGGCTAGACCTTAGATAGCTTTTTCTCTGTCCTGGTGTGAGATTTAACAGAAAATTTGATTAATTTTTACATGTTTTTATATATTATATATACGCATATATGTATATCGTATATTTTTAAAGTATATTTGGGGGGCACACGTTTGTCTGTGCCTTGGGTACCTCACGTGGTTGCAGCACGTGCTAGGCTGTGTCCTGACCTTTGTGTCCTCTGACCAGCGGGCCCAGGCTAAGGAAGGCTTCATGTAGAGCAAACGGATTATAAATTAGGCTCTCACTTGGCACTGCAGTGCTTCTAAGGATTGAAGGGGGTGGGGGGAGCGTTTCTACAGGCACCCCTGCTTTGTTCTTATGAAAGGCCTACATCAGTGTCTGCTTTGGTCCAAGGCTCTCTCCTTGCAGAAGGTGCGGTTCTGCATGAGCAGCTTCCGTGCTGACTGCAGTGGCCTTTCACCATGCGGCCTGTCCCCAGCACCAAGAAGGCGAGCCCCTTCCCGGCCTGTGCCCCTTGCCATGTTTCCTGCTTTGACTGTTCAGTGAGGGATTCGGGTGTGACTTTGGGCCTAGGGCTGCCCAGAATGCTGCAGCCTGGAGCGGTGATGGAGTTTTTGCTGTATGCTTGCTGTTTCAGCCCTGCGACCTAGAAGGAGCTGATGTTATGTGTGTGTCTGTGAAATGTCCAAGGGTACACTGATTGTGGGAAGAAAGGGCTCCTTGCATATTTTGAAACAGTTTTAAGTAACTTATTTTCTACTGCAAAAAGTAATCTACTTTTTTCTTTGTTACAGTAACTTATTAACAGAGTATCAGAAGAAATGTGATGATATCCTTTCACTGTTTCCTTTTCTGTTGACTTTACTTGTGAGTTTCAGAGTTTGCAACTGTATCTCTCCTGTCCTTGGGAGGCCGTTAGCTGGGCCAGGTCCTCTGCTCAGAATGAGGATGGTCCGGGAGGCTCAAATATTGGGGCTGCCGGCCTGAGGCCATGTGTTGGAGATGCTCTCAGGAGCCTCTTCCTGGGTCTCCGGAGGAAGCACCCCAGGGGAGAAGCAGCCCCTGGGTGGGTGCCTGAGGGTTAGTGTGGGAGTCCTGGACCCTGGTGCACTCACTGCTGGGTGCTCACTCACTGCTCCTGTGCTCACTCAGTGTTGGGTGCTCACTGCTGAGTGCTCCCTCACTGTCCGCGCCCCTCGGCTGCAGCCAGTGTGTGCCCTTTCCTGTTGTGACAAGCATTTGCCAGGGTCAGTGTCTGTTAAAGTAAGAACCTATCTGTGTTGTTCAGTACTTGGGCCTCTGGCTTCATTGCTGAGACCTTTCTGGTCGGCTGATCTCCGCCCTGAACCCATGGGTCCCCGCACTGGGATGGACTCAACTTCTCTCTTTTCTGTTTGGCAGAAATGACGGAGTCAGAGATGAGCTTTGACACTTGAGTTTCAGTGGCTGAGTTTTACACGGAAGTTATGGTCATTGACAGTTGCTTTTGCTTCTTTGTTCACAGTTACCAGTATATTGTTATTGCAAGAGTAGCGCCTTTGGGGGTTGGAGTGATGGCACAGCAGTAGGGCGTTTGCCTTGCACATACAGACCTGGGTTTGATTCCCACAATCCCATATGGTTCCCTGCATTGCCAGGGGTAATTCCCTGGGTGCAGAGCCAGGAGTAACCCCTGTGTATTGCTGGGTGTGACCCAAAAAGAAAAAAAAAAAAAAAGGTAGTGTCTTTGACAGTAAAAGGTTCGAGGAACATTTTTGTCAGAAAAATGGTCACTACTCTGAATAGCTTTGTGGAGCCTGGCAGTGAGTCACTGCAGTCCTGGAAGGAACACTCCAGCCCTGCACTGTGCTCCAGGGAGGAACTGCTCCGGCCCTGCGCTGTGCTCCAGGGAAGAACAGTTCCGGTCCTGTGTTATGTTCCAGGGAGAAACAGCTCCAGCCCTGTGCTATACTTGACGCAGTTGGACCCTGGCAGCGAGTCTCTGCTCAGTCCCGCTGCGAGGAAAGTGCTCCACTGTGCTCATTACAGTCAAATCTACCAGGGAAGTCATTGGTGACTTCTGAGAATTCACACTGTTAAAAATCAAAGTTCTTAGAATAACTTACTAAAAGCTCACACCCCTTTTTGGTGAGTTTTGCTCTTTTTCTATAATGTTTAACTAGCAGTGGCTCAGCTAAAGCAAATTCCGATTTACAGAAGCGGGTGCCCCTGTGCCTGGCCTCTTTCCCGCCTCGCTCTCAGAGACTCGACCCTGCAGGTCATGGAATTCTCGCCATGCCTTCAGCCCGATTTGTTGTTTGTTTATTTATTTATTGTTTATTTTTTCAGTTCCTCTCTTTGTGGGGCAGAGTACATTTGACTCACAATGTTCTTATTTTCAAAGACTGCCAAATCTGTGCTGTGTAACTGTCACTCTTGACCTTGAGATGCTTGTGAGGGAAGGGGGCGGGGTTGTAACTGATCCTTCCTGCCTGGGGTTGCCGGGTGAGGTGGGAGTGACAGGAGCCAGTCTGACAGCCCTGCGTGGGATTCTCTGGGTCTCAGGTCTGGGCTTCCCTAGTGCTCAGAAAGTAGCTATGTGTGCGTATTTGGTCTGAGTGTCTCTCTGTTTGCTGAACTCATGGTCAGTGTCATTTCAGAAATGAAGGACAGAGCATCAGAGAGTTAGGCATTTCCCATTAGCTGCTTTCCATGCTCTTTGCTTTGGGAATTTAATTTTGGTCACATCTAATCAGACTCTTTGTACATTCAGAGTAGTAGATATTTTGACTTTGGGAATGTGCTTAGTAAAGAGGAAGGCCTCAGTGCAAAGCTTCACCATTGTGCTATTGAAGGAACTTTGAGTCTCATTCTTTTACAAGTGTCAGCCTAGCCAGACTGTCCGTTGAGCACAGGTGATGGGGTGGCTTCATCCTCAGACGCCTGTTGGTGGTTAAAGGACTCGGCCTTTCCCTTTCCCCTTTTCTCCTCTGTTTGCACATCTGTGTGTCTATGTATTTCGCAGTAGTCTTGATGCCATCTGCCCCTCCCTTCCTACCCCTTTCAGTTTTCTTTAACAAGTGCTACAGCTGCAGTTTGCAAGAAGGTAAGCCACTGTTTTCTTTATTTGGGGCAAACCTGGAGCAGTGTAACATAGGTTTGGCCCACACGTTAGAGTGATGCTTGAATGCTCAGAATTATAGCTGGAGCTAGTTCTTCTCTGTCCTGTCTGATTGTCAAAAAGGGCGTCCCCAGTCATGACCAGGTGTCAGTCCCCAACAGATATCCCCAGTCACGACCAGATGTCAGTCCCGATCGCTGTGGCTGGCTGTGGTGCCACTGAGCTGTGGCTGTCAGCACTCAGCCTTCTCTGTGAATCAGACTTCTTAATGTGGGTGCTGATTTGGGAACTTGAAACAATTTAAAATAAACTCATTTGGTCATGTTTCATACTCTGATTACACTTAGCCCCAGGAAGAAGGACAAACCTGGTCCTCAGATCACAGAATTGCCTGACATTGAATTTGACTGAACCAAGGATGAGTTCATAGTGCAAGAGTCAAGTTACTTGGCAGGAGTGTCCAGTAGTCTATCTTCTAGCACATTGATAATCTTTTATACTTCTTAAATGACTGTTTAAAAACATAATTATGTTGTTGTATTAGATTTCAGTGCCAAAGAAATAAAAGGAACATGAAGAGCATGTTGGTTACAAACTGTAGGGTTGTATTTAGAGAGAAATTATTTTATTCCTTTTTTGTTTCAGCTTAGAAATTAAGTCTAGGACCCCAAAAGAGAATGTACTAATTCACTGTAAACGGTTTTAATAATCCCGCGCATGCATTGTCCATTTTCAGAGAGAACAGTACCCTGCATCACCAAGTGGAACAAATGCTCCAGAAAATCTCTCCTCTGCAGCAATGCCAGGAAGAGTTGGGGTCTTTGAAGGCAGAGCTAGAAGAGAAGAAGGTACTTAGCTCCATCTGCCTACAAAGTCTGTCATTTTCAGTGAATTGTGTTCTTCTGCTTCTCTGTGATTAGAAGAAGTGGATATTTTATGTGTTCTCGAAGGAAACAAATGCTAGTTGACACTTCTTGAGTTTGTTATTAAGGCAACGTTGGGCCAGTTGCTTACTGCTTGGCCCTCAGCGTGCTTATATGCTCCGTCTTGCTGTATGCATTGACTCTCCTTTCTCAGAGTCTCAGTGGAAGAACCATGTCATGGCTTTGTGGTGATCGGGGAACCACATGGTTGCTGGGGCTAGAACTAGGCATGGCTTCGTGCATGGCCGGCATGCCCGCTGTCCTCTCAGACCCGCCAGGCTGTGAATTTTTAGGGCTGTGGTTGTGCATTGACCAGCTTGTCACATTTTTCTTGCCTTAAGTGTAAACGGGCAAAGATTCAAGATGGAGACATGTTCTTTATCTCCAAATGAAATCGTAGTGAAAAAACAAGTATTTTTTTTAAGTGCTGTGTACGTGCTTTTCTCTGGGGCGTCTTAGCTTTTACAGATAAAAACTCTGCAGACTGTACCCCTAGGTGGTTTCTAGAAGCTCTGCCCAGTGCTGCTTGAGCTGTCCGGAGGACCGTGTTCGCTCAGGCCTCCTGGCCGCCTTCCTGTGTGTCGAGAGTCATCCTGCTGTGGAGACTCTCCTCTCCTTTCACCGTGCAGTGCTCTCGCCAGCTGGTCGAGAGGACCCTGCACGTGGGAGTCCGGACTGTGGGTCAGCCCCGCTGCGCAGCTGACGTGGGCGCTGCTGTCTCAGACCGGGGTGTCCTCAGTCAGAGCACACGTGCAGATGGGTGCGGCGGTGCTCCTGCAGCAGGGCCTCCATGGTGGTGCTCCCGTGGCAGTGCTCTGTGGTCCAAGCCCTGTCAGTTGTTTGCGTTTACGTGTTTCCTCAGTTACTGCCAGTTGTTAAGATTTGTTTTATATTTTTGCACAACAGCAATAGTTTATATGTATTCATCTCTAATATTCTTTTGGTTTTGCTGAATTGTAATTGCTTGAAACATGATTATTATCTAGTTAGTATTCTGAAGATTCGGGGTGCTTAGAAGTAGTCTTTTTGACATTTTCTGCTTTTGAGTAGGCTATTGGTAATCCTGCACCTGGCCGTGTGCCTGGCCTGGCCCTCCCACTCCCAGAAGCTGTGTCTGGGACTGGCCCTCGCACCCCAGGGAGCTGTGTCTGGGTGTCCTTCTTGTCCATCTCTGTTGGTTGATGCATATTTGTCTGTTGGGGTCCAAGAGCACCCCTGAGCTGATATGGGGCTGCCTGGTGGACCAGACCCATTTCTCTTTCAGAGTTCTCTCAAGCTGTACCAGGACACACACCAGGAGTACGCCCGGGTCAAGGAGGAGTGCCTGAAGAGCGACGCACAGTGAGTGCCGCACACTTTTCCCTCTTGGTCTTGTGGCCACTGAGCTCTTCCTGGCCAGCCTCCAGGAGGGCACTGGCCCAGAGAAAGGTGCCGTTCTAGTCCCTGCACTGTCCCCGCCTTGGGGCCTGACGGCTGATCCCACACCCCCTAGTCTTATGCTTCACATGGGCGGGACCCCGTGGTGAGTCAGACTTCCCAGGTGGGGAGCTCCCTGCCCTGTTGCAAGCTCCAGAGGGGTTGGGGTTCCCTGGGGGAGTGCTGTCTGATATAGCCCTGGACCTGAGTGCCAGGAAGGGTCTCCCTTGCCGGCCCTTCATCAGCCCGCACTCAAGGCCGACCCTTGTCTTCGGTGATTCTGCCTGAGCACAGCTGTGTGCTGTCCCCGGCATCCCTGTGCTGCTGTTGGGGTGGTAGTGGGGGGGGGGGCGCCTTTGTCACATAAACCTCAGGCAGTTTTCTATTCTTGCTTTTCGTCGGGATTGGGGTCCTCCCGGAGAGTTTTGACCAGCCAGCCTGGTGGCTTGAGGTGAAGGCCCGGGGATGCGGTGTTGCTTAGGCCTGACCGTGCCAGAGATGTTCCAAGCCACTCCCGTATGACTCGGTGTGACGTAGTATCTGCATTTGCTGTTTTATTATTCTTGTTTTGCCTATTTTATAAAACCGTCTTCTTCCAGGAAGAAGAAACTCGAAGCCAAGGTGAAGAAGCTGGAAGGTAATCTGTTGCTCTGGTGTGCCCAGCTCGTGTGCCTGGCTCTTGGCTGACCCCTGGGAAGCAGCCTGCTGGGCACCGCCCCCCTCTCAGCAGAGCCTGGGGTGGCCGCATGAGGCGTCTCACGCTTCCCCGGGAGACGGCGCTGGGAAGCCAAGCACCAGGGCTCGTGGCGAATTGGGCTCCTTGTGATATGATGTGGCGGCGCCTGCCCCTCCCCTGCCCACCCGGGCCGCGCTGCTCTGCTCCCCCACGCCCCACGCTGCTTGGGGACTTTTCAGTTAGGCTCACCCGAGACCCTCACACGGCTGCTTGCTTTGCATTTCTCTTCCCTGCCTTGGGTTTGGGTGTTGGTGCAGGAGTCCTGTGGGGCAGAGGCCGGGAGCGCTCCTGCTTCCTCCTCTCCTCCTGACCTCCAGCCTGCCAGGCCCGCCAGCTCTGCGCGTGGCTCTGCCTTGGAGAGCGGGAGAATGGGCGGTGTTCATCTAGCGTGTGAGGCAGAAGTTTAGTTCGTGAGTCGGGGTATGCGGTGGAGACTGTGGGAGCGGCTCCTGGTCGAGCCCCATTGCTCTCCAGTGCTCAGACTGTAGTTCCTAGGTTCCAGTAGCGCTGAAGCGCTGAGAGAGGCGCAGAGGGTGGCCGCAGCCCTTGCCCTGGCCAGTCTGTGGCATAGTGGGTTGAGAAGGAAACGAGGCAGAGCCCTGGGTGCCCGCCAAGGTCTGGGTCAACCTCAGTCTCTGGCTTGTTAGGAGCAAGCAGGAAAGGAAGCCAATTTACTTTCCTTAACAGTTAAGTGGAAAATATCTGGGCATCAGCAGATACATGTCAGATCCCGCTTTTCTAAACTAAAAGTTGGCATCGAGAATTTGCCACAGATCTCGAGACAAACTCTAGGAAGAGCTGAGGGTAGACCTGTAATGAGAGCCCTGGCAGCAGGACTGGGCTGTGGAAGGAAGTCCGGGAGAAGGAACCGCGTTTGTAGCTTGCTTGACCCCTCCCCCCCCAATCAGGTCAAGGGAAGGGTGAGAAAACCAGTGTTCCTGCTGGTGGAAGTAGCTTACGGGACTGTCGGAGCCTGCCTGGGTTGGGAGGGATTCCGAAGTGTCGCTGCATTTATGCGTGTCTCAGAGGACAGACAGAAGGGGCGGGCAGTGACCCATGCGATCGCCAGGCAGATCACTGAGTCTCTCCCCTCCGCTCTCTTCACTATGCGATCTGTAAAGAGGCCGCAGTCAAGCACACACAGGACTTCAAGCAACTGCGAAACGAGAAGAAAATCCTGGAAAAGGAATTCAGGAAGACGCAGGTACTGGACCCGCACTGGGTCGCACAGAGGGCAGGTCTGAGCTCGGGCCCCAGTGTCCCGAGGGGTGTGCCCCGAGCCCACTGACCTGCCCCTCCCCAGGTCTAAGGGGCCCTGTCCTCACCCAGTACCAACCTTGAATGCTTTGTTTTGACAGGAAAGACTGGATGAATTCTCGAAACAGAAGAATGAAAGGGGTGAGTGTCACTTGCTTGCTTTCTGGCGTTCTGTTTTGGTGGCATGACTTACTCCTGACTGTTACTCTCGATGTGTTTTCAGAGTTGAGACATATTGGGACTCAGATTTCAAGCGACTCTTTGGGGAACATTGATAAAAGTGAGTAATATGTGTTTTTTGTTTTCATTTCTGTATTGCCCTCAGCTATTTGGGATATTCTCTGTCACCTGAGGGTTCCAGCATGGGATCAAAGCAGCCATGCCCTATTCCTTTTCACTTGGTGCCATGCATGTTAACCTATTTGCTGTTTGAGAAAACGTTACAGTAAGTATGAGAGTTCGAATACTGTATCGTTTCAGGAAGGAGGATGTCACTAGAGATGTCATTTCCATCTTTTTCAGCTAGTATGGATTTCTCAGATGACAGTTTATCAAACTGATGTCTTCAGTCTCCTAGATGCCCAGATATCTTTTTAAAGGACGAGAGGAGGGCTGTGGAGCGAGAGTCCTGTGGTGTGTGTGGAGAGTGGGAGAGTTTGGGGAAGTGGAGTCAGGAGACAAGTGTCCGGCCTGCACACCTGTGGCAGCCCCTGGGCCTTGTTCCTGCCTCTGCGGTGGGTACGTGGCAAGGCGTGTAACAGGGACAGCCAGGCCTGTGAGGGGGCTGGGCTCCCTTTAGCGTGTGCCTTTACCGACCCTTTGACCAGGGACTTCCCTGCTTGCCTCTTCCTGGTTTCATGATAGTCGCTGTGTTTCTGCTTTGCCTCATGCCTTGTTCTGTGAGGCACCTCTGAAGTGCCCCAGGGGTCAGTGTGGACCTTCCTCTCTCCAAGGGCTGCTTCCTGCCTTAGAGGCAGGCGCCTGCAGGCTGTAGTCTGCGTGCCCTTTAAGGCCCAGGTGGCCTCTTGGGAGCATCCTGCCCCGCACTGCAGGCTCTTGGCCTTTCTCAAGGGCCAGGGCTCCCAGGGGACAGAGAGCTCTTCAGGCAACTGGTGTGCACACATAGGCTCGGGCATGCACTCATTCACGTACGTGCACGTGCACACACTCAGGTACATACATACGCACACACGCACTCATGCAGACCGTCACACACTCTTCTATGCTCACGCATTCAGGCACGCACGCAGGCACTCATGCCCTACAGACATGCTCAAGCACATGCAGGCAGGCACTCACTATGTGCGCATGCTCACACGTACAGACACATGTACTCATGCACTCTCAGGCATGCATGCATGCACTTATTAATGTATGCAGACATTCATGCACTCTCAGGTCTGTCTGCGGGCTCGCATGCACTTACACACCCTCAGGCATGCATTCACACACTCATGCACTCCACCACGATCTTTGGCATGCATGCATGCACACACTCACTGTCTCTCCTGGGACTCGCCGTGTCTTGGGTTTGGTACTTCCGGCTTTACTCTATACAGACCCTGCACAGGTTCCTTTGGGCGGCTTGGTCCCTGTGTCTGTCCTGTGTTCTGCCAAACTGCAAGACTGCAGCTCAGCTTGTTTGTCGCCCTCCGTGAGGAGGCTGTGTGCCGTGTGTGCTTGGCGGGCTCGGGTGACACGCGGGGGCGGTGTGTCATGTGTGCCTAGCGGTTCAGGAATCCGCTCTTAGACTCTGGGCTGTTTCTTAACTCCTCGTCGACTGCTTTAGCACTTTTGTCTTCACACCTGACTTTGAGCTGAGATGCAGCAGTTAGGCAGGAAGAGTTGTGGCTGCCTTGTGTCCTCTCCTTCGAATTCCAGCGACAATAATAGAAAGTAGGGAACTGCTCTCCTCGGTACTTAGCATATTTGCCACCAAGGGAGGAAGTAACTGGAAGAGGCGTGAAGCAGATGGGACCTGCATGAGGACACTCCAGGGAAGGGTGAAGCTTTTGCAAGCCTGAATAGAAAAGTAAAACCCCAAGGGAAGTTAAAGCGCCAACACTATAACAGATTTAGGTACTTATGGGTGAGTTCTAGTCTTCTGAGAACCGAGAACGTGAAATGCCGCCTTAACAGCCCTGCGTAACCCTGTTCCCAGGCCAGTTCAGCTAGATGCGCACTAAAGGCTCATTTAGCAGTCTTCGCTGTGAAGTCTCCGTTAGAACGTTAGGAGCGCAGATCTGCCGATTCACAGATAAGGGGTTTGCTACACCAGCTGCTCGAGAGAACAGTGCTTCTCTCTGTTCGGTGCTTCTAAGAGTGATGGTGTGTGCCCTGGGAAGGCACAGAGCAGGTACCTTCTGTGCTAATCTCCTTGGGAGGTGCTGGAGGCCATCACGGGGCAGCTGAGCAAAGGCCACTGTGTCCACCCTGTGAGCACTCACGTGGAGGGAGGGTAAAGTGTAGGCTCGGCTGAGAAAGTTATCCTGATGCCCGGGATGTGACAGCCCCATCCCAGTAGCCAGTGCCCACCGCCCTTCCACAGCAGAGCTATGAGACTCACTTAAAGGGCCCAGTGCATCCCCCCAAGTGATCCCAGACAGTCCTCTAGCCTCCTGCTGGGCTTCACTGGGAAGAAGAGCAAGCTGAGGGGGAGCGCGTCTCAGGAAGAGAGGGACCGGACAGTGACATTCTGAAGGGGAAAGCCCCGGGCAAAGCTTCCTAGAGATGACACAGTGTCCGTGTGCAGGGGATGAGAATGTGGAGTCTTTGTGCAGGGATGGAGAATGTGCCATGGTGACGTGGTGTCTGTAGGGGATGGAGAATGTGCCACGATGGCTGGTGTCCCTGAGGAGTGACAGCGGGGAGAGCAGTGCAGAGGTGCACGGTGAGGCTGGGAGGTTGATGCAGGAGGCATCCAGGGGTGAGGATGTTGTGGGGTTCAGGTTAATGAAGTGTTTTCTTACAGCTCAGTAAAATGCTGTGGGAGAGTCTCTGCATCGGCTAGGAAGGGGTTGATGAGAGCTCAGCGAGCCCAGGAGTAGCTCTGGGTGAAACCTCCATAAGGATAGAACAAGCATGTCTTTGGTTTTCTCTCAAGTTCCTTGTTTGCTGCTCTGGGTATTCCTGAGCTACAGGTAGGCGCAGGATCTGGGACAGGTGTGCTCCTCGGTGATTGCAGGTCTGGGATATTGAAAGGGACAGGCGCCTTGCTGGGTTTGAGAGAGGCTTCCCCAGGGCTCTCCCAGAACAGACTCTGTCTGTTCCTCTCCCTGGCATCCTCTCTGGAGGGGTCCCGTTTACCCACTCTGAGCCTGGCAGTCCCACAGAGTGCATGATTCCTGGGTCATTTGGGACTTTAGGGTTGGTCTTGTTAGCCTCTTTGGACCTGAATTGGTCTCTTTATTTTCAAGAGACGCTTTAGATTAAGAACTTACTTGATATGAGATTAATACCCAAGAATAGCTGAGATCAGCACCAGGAGGATTACTCCATAACTTAGAGGCCAGCCGGGTATCCTAGAGGAAAGGGCTATTCAGATAGAGAAGGGAGCACCAAATAAAGGATGTTTGGAGGATCCTCCCAGGAGGGGAGATGCATGTCGAAAGTGGACTATGGACTGAACATGTTTGCCACTCAATGCCTCTTTTGCAGACCACAACACCCAAAAGGAGAGAGAGAACACAGGGGATTGCCCTGCCACAGAGACGGGGGGATGGGGGGATGGGGGTGGGAGGGATATTATCCATGGTGGTGGAAAATGGGCACTGGTGGAGGGATGGGTATCTGATCATTGTATGATTGAAACCAAAGCACAAAAAATTGTAAATCTACAACTTTAAAAAAAATAAAATAAAATAAAGGGAAAAAAAAAAAAAAAGAACTTACTTGAAGGAAATGTAATAGAGCTTGAGGAGCTCTGAAATTGCCTACACATCTTTATTGTTGGTTGGATTTTAATGTGATCCGTCTTTTATAGATGTTTAATGACAATATTATTTTGAGTACCTTTTGCTTCAGAAGGGTTTCAGTGGGTGCTAAGGTCATTTTAGAACCGCAGTGCCCTGGGGTGGGAGAGCTAATCCTGGGGCAAGATACATAAGCCTCAGGTATGACTGACCCGGTGCAGAGCCCTGCATCCCCCCTCCCCCACTGGGGAACACACAGCGGTGCAGGGGAGGGGACCAGTTGCGGGGAGACCGTGTGTCACCACGAGTCTACCTCGGAGCGTGTAGCGCAGCCTCACACTCGGCTCCCAAGTGGTGCCCAGAGGTTATGATTCTTGACGAACCCTGCCTCCTGGGAGCAGGTGTTGGCGTGGTGGGAATTGAGCCGATACCAGGGGGTCACACTGACCTCGTGTCTCTCACAGGAAGGGTGAAGCTGCTCTTGAAGGAACTGTGGCTCTGCATCAACACCGCACACAAACTCCCCGGGGACGGCGGCAGGCGTGGAACAGGTGAGAGCCCTGGGCCCTCCGGGAGTGCCGTTTCACGGTCCATCACTTGGAGGGACACACGGGGACAGGCAGCTGTGGAGGATGCATGTGGTGGGAATCGCGGCCGCGTTCTTCTCTTCTTTCTCTGATCCAGCAGCTGGTGGGGTCTTAGCTCCCCCGCTGCTCTGCGTTCGTCTCCTTGGGGACACTGATGGACTTAGGCACGGCTCTGTCCATCCTACCGCGGCTTGGCACGCTCGGCGCCAGGGATGAGTCTGAGCCGCGCCAGAGCCACACACTCGCTTCGCATTTCGTTAGGTCCTGCTGCCGGCAGACGCGAGGTTTGGAAATAGGAACCAGGGTGGGTGTAGAATGGACACCACTGGGTGTGGCCCAGGTGCAGATGAACTCCAAAGGAGTTGCCACTGAGTCCCACCTCACAAGTACCTCATGTTTTCTTGATAGTATTTAACATTGCAGACCTCTTTCCCACAGAAAAACCCGCCCGAGAAAGCTCCCCACTGCGAGAATGTGGGGCCGAGGGGTCACCGCGAGCTGTGGGCGGCAGCCCCAGCCCCACTGCGGACGTGCGCACGTGCCTGACGGAGCTATCCATGGAGATCGAGGGCAGCTTTTCCCCCTGTGCGTCTGCGGAGGAGACGCAGCGGGGCAGCCGTGCTGCAGCCCCTGGTGCCCGTGCCCTGGCCCCGGTGGACGAGGACCTGCAGGCAGCCGTGGACTTCTTCAGAATGCCTCCACCACTCCTGTCGCCCGTGCCCTCCCCCCCGCTCGTGTCCTTGCCCCCTTGGGGCACGCTCCCCTCTCCGCTGGAGCCGGTGAGTGCCAAGTTTCCATGCTGCCCAGGGGTGGGGCTTGGGCGTGCTCCTGAGGCTCAGATCAGGCTTTATTAGGGAGGAATGTCGGGTGCAGCGGGGCTGCAGGGAATTTGGGGCTCGGTTCACCTCTCGAATGTTTCTGGGTCCTCCTCCATGCCTGCGCACCACTGTAGGACTCAGTGTTTGGCAAGGGGGCCAGGGGAAGGAGTCTGCACATCCACAGGACGTGGCCCAGTCCCTGCACACGCACATCCACGGGACAGGCCCAGTCCTTGCACATGCACATGCACATGCACATCCACAGGACACGGCCCAGTCCCTGCATACTCACATCCACATCTACAGGACATGGGCCCAGTCCCTGCACATGCACGACCACGGGACAGGCCCAATCCTTGCACATGCACATCCACATCCACAGGACATGGCACAGTCCCTGTACACACACACACACACACACACACACACACACACACACACACACACATTCCCGCTGCTGGATCCCGACTGGTTCTCGAACCACCCCGTCCCTTGTTTGCACAGGTGTGAGAGCTGTGCTGCAGCTGCCCCTGGCTGGGGTGCAGGAGCCTGTCACGAGTGGGGCTGGAGTTGTAAAGTAGGACCTCAGGTGGACTCTCCCTGCCAGTCATGGGGAAGATGTGGCCTGTCCCCGTCCAAGGTGCGTTGGTCAGAAGCCTCTGACGCAGCTGTGACCAGCGCTCTCATCTGTTGCAGGAGTCCTGCGTTGAAGACTCCGCCATCTCCAGCGACAGTGACTGCGCCCAGCACAGAGGCCCTGTGGAGGCCGTCTCCGAGGATGAGCCTGCCGAGTCACCGCCTCGCTGGGGCGCCCCCAGAGCAGCCCAGGGGTGTGGGCGTGGCGAGGAAAAGCGTGGGGTGCAGGAGGGCCCGGACCGAGTGACCTCCGTGGGCTTCGGAACGTTCACGACCACCCTGAGTGAGCCCTCCACCACCTTCTCCTTTGCTCGGGAGCAGCGCTGGGCTGCGGGGTCTGAGTTCAAGCGCTCAGGGCCCGAAGATGCGCAGGGAGCAGTGCAGGAGTTGGACAAGGCTGTGCAAACCGAGGGGACGCCTCTGCGACACCGCAGCTGCGCCCGGGACACAAAGTCCCCTGGGAAGCCCTGCGTGGGTTCCCCGCTGCCCCCGCAGCCCCTCAGTGAGCTCCTTGAGGCTCCGGCCACGTCCCTGCAGTCCAGAGTGATGGTGGCCCCCCTGTCCCGTCTGACTGAGTGGACACTGACCAGCAGGGTCACGCCTGGGTCAAATGGCGCAGCAGGAGCTGAGTGTTTTCAGGACAGGTCTGGAGCATGGGACAAGGACAAAGAGGACAGGGCCCTTGCCGGGGACTGTCTGGAGCCAGAAGGTGCAGGGGCTGCTGGGGGTGCCCCAGGCCCGTCTGTCCCCCAGGCCCCCGCCCTCCCCCCCAGCAGGGACTCGCCACCCTCTGCACAAAGGCTGCAGCAGCGGGCTGAATCCCCAGCATCTTGGAAGGGAGAACGTGACCAGGACACCAGCTCGGGACTGTCCCCCAGTGAGGCACAGGGCCCTTTGGGTCGAGATGCTACTCAGGCCCCTTCCGCTCCTCAGTCATTATTCGCCAGGGTGCCCGCTGATGGGCCGAGTGGCCGTCAGTCACCCCGAGCTCACAGTACCAGCCACTGCCAGCCTGTGTCCGGCGGGAGAGACCTCAGCCTACACCAGCGCACATCCTGGCACCAGAGCCCAATGCTCCATGAAGTGGGACCCGAAGGGGGACCGCGGGCCACAGCAGGGTCCCCACCGGCTGCGCCGGCCATCTTCCCAGACAGTGCTTCGGCGTTCCAGGGAGATGAGAGCCTGGGGGTGCTCAAAGCTACCGCCAAACCGCAGTCCAACCAAGTGTCAGTCATCACTAAGCAGACGCGCCTCGGACCCCTGGACAGAGCCTGGCCAGCACTGCCGAGACTGCCCCAGGAGAAGGAGGCGCCCCTCATGGCAGCTGGGCCCCCTGCCAGGACTGAGCCTCTGGTACCCCCAGACCCAGTGCGGGGCCGAGAGAGAGAAGGGGCGGCCCTCAAGGCCTGGCAGGCGGTGGCCATGAGACGGGCCTCCCCGGAAGTCTCCAGCACTTGTCGGAAATTAGACTTTGATGCTCCCAGTGGGTCTCTGACGGCAGGAGGTTCTCATCACTTTGCCAACAGTATTTTGTCTCTTTCTTATGACCACATCTCTGCGCAGAAGCGAGAGTCAGGGCCAGAAGCTGTGGTACTCCCAGAGGTGCAGAGGTGGCGAAGCAGAGGCTCCAGCCCGGAGCCAGCTGTGCCCGTGCCCAGAGGCCTCCCCGCCCAGGAGAGGCCCAGCGTCACTCCTGCCACGCAGCAGAGTCCCCGGGAGCCCCCTGAGCGGTGCTGCCAGAGCCCCGTGCTCACAGCTGTGGCCTCGGCGTCGGGAAAAGCACAGGGACCACCCTGTGCCGGGCCCCCAGAGAGCCTCCCCGGCGTGCTATATCACTACACGGGCGTCCGCGAGCAGCAGAGGGCAGACACGGAAGTGGAGGAGAGCGAGGCCCCGAGCTGCAGCGAGGGTGAGGCCGAACCCGAGGCTGCCCCGGCTGCAGGAGCCACGTTGGGGGTGGCCCTGGCCAGGCCTGGACCAGAGCTGGGTGCACTGACATCTGCCCTGCAGCACTGCAGCCTCGCCGTGGACCGGCTGTCCACTTCGGATGTGGCCCTCTTCCTGGAGAGCTGCCGCCTGCGTGACAGCAGCTCTGGAGACTCCGTGTCCGAGAGCTCCAGCAAAGGGGGCCCAAGTCAGGACCAGGGGACACCACAGGAGCTCACGAGGCCCGGAGGAGCCGCGCACAGCCAACCTGACGCTGCCGGGGAAAGCCAGGAGCCCTTCGGGGGCTGTCCCGAGGAGGAGGAGGAGGAGGAGGAAGGCCCCCTGCAGCTCCCGAGCCAGCTGTCCCAGTGCTCCCTGGACACGCTGGCCAAGGTGCTGGCCAGGTTGGGGCGCGAGCTGCACAGTGGCCCTGTGGACGCTCGCCTGCGAGAGGCTGGAAGTCTGCTTCTCCTCAACGTGCTCCAGCAGGTAGTGGCCGAGGACGAGCTGGGTGCGGATCTGGCCCCGGGCTCGGGCGGCACGAGTGCTCGGAGCAGCCCTGCGGGAGACCCAGCCATGACGAGAGCCGCTGAAGGCCAGGAGGAGGTGCTGCTGGAACCGGCAGGGTCCCAGGGCTCTGGGGAGACCCCTGAGGAGACCCCTGCCATAGAGCCCCCGGAGGCGATGCAGACAGAGACCTACCAGTGCCAGATCTCCACAGTGACCTCAGAAGTCATCAACGTGCTGCTCAACAAGGACCAGAACCTGGTCATCGAGAAGGGGGACAACTGGACCATCATCAATGGGGTCACCCTAGTGCCCAACGTGGACCAGGTGATAGTGTGCGACCCGCCAGGGGCCGGCCTGGATGCCGAATTCCCTTCCTGCTCCTACCCGGAGGAGGAGGAGGAGGAGGAGGTAGAGGAGGCCGCCGAGGCTGCAGGGCCCGAGTGCCCGGCCCCAGCACCTGCCAGTGACCCCTCCTGTGTCCAGGAGATCTCTAGCAGTGGCCAGGGAGCCAACTTCGACAAGAGCCGTTTGCGGAACAGGCCCGTCAAACCCAGCACCAGGATCAGCTCGGAGATTTTCGATCAAGACTTTGAGGAGTCTCCAACAATCGTGTTTGACCACACCTACTTCAACTCGAAACTCGAGCCGGCCACCAGGGGCAGGACTCGGTCGAGGGTGGCGAGTCGGGAGCCGCCCAGCAGGCCCGCCAAGGCCTCGAGCAGAGCGGACCCTCCTCAGGGTGAAGCTCCGGAGTCGTCGCCTGGCGAGAGAGGAAATAGCAAGTCACAGCGGACACAGACGCAGACTGTCCTGGCCAATGCGGACACCTCGACCCCGACAGACGGTGCCGGAGACACGCTGAGTAAGATCCGGCAAGAGGTGGGGCCGCCACTGCCCCCGCTGCTCGCCCCGCTGGTCGCCACGCCGCCCCGGGCCTCCCGCTCTGTCTCTCCTCTGGTCTCCAGCTCCAGCCCCGCCTCGCCCCTGGCCCAGCTGTCACCGCTGTCAGAAGCCCCCGGACTCCCCGCGATGTCCCCTTTGCCTGAAGACCCGGTGCCGCCCTCTCCTCTCTGCACCACTGCGTCCCCGTCCGCCACATCCGCCGATGAGCGGATCCTGTCCTCACCCCTGCAGTTCTGTGCCGCGACCCCAAAGCATGCCCTACCGGTACCGGGCCGCCTGCCACCCTTGGCGGCATCTGCACACAGCGCCGTGGCCGGGCCCCAGGAGAACTCGGTGAAGATCCTGGATACTATGTACCCTGAGCTGTCTGCCAGGGCCCGCACCCTCAGCCTCCTCAAGGGGAACCTCCAGCTGGCGCGGGGGCCTGCCGACAGTGAGAACCGGCCCGCACCCGTCAGTGCCATCTCGGGCTTCAAGGCCATCACGTCCACATCCACAGCCTTTGTGAAAACAGGCAGCTCTGGGGGCGACTCTCAGCAGGACAAGCCGCGGGCCGCGGGCGGGAAGAGGCCGCCGCTGCCCTCGTCTTTGAGGAGTGCTAAGAGGCTCCGCCTGCATGGTGCCTCCCCCGAGCCTGAGCCCCGCAGCTCCAGCCTGGGCGGGCACCGGAACCTGCGGAGGAGACCGCCCGCCCCCGATGCGGCCCCCCCTGGGGAGGAGAGAGGCTCCGGGGACCCCGAACCCCCTGCCTCGCAGGCACCGCCTAAACCCAAAGAAACGGTGGAGTCCCATGACCGGGCCATTGCGGACGCGCTGAAGAAGATCGCGGAGGCCGCCTTTGACCTGCTGCCCGTCATCCGCAGCCACGTCTACGTGGGCAACATCTCCAAGAAGCCCGTCATGCGTGACCAGGAGAAGGAGGTGGTCCACGAGTTCAGCACCGCCAGGAAGGTGAGTACCGTGGGCTGAGCCCCTTGAGGTTCCGGCCCGTCTTCCTGGCCAGCACCACATGTCTGACACTGAGAATGGATGGGGTGGTGTTTGGGGCAGGTGGTTCCTGGCCCCTTCCGTGGCTGTTCTTGCCAAGCACATCCTTGCTGTCCTGCTCTGGGGGGGCTCTGTTTTCAGCGTGGGCGGGTGCAGTCACTTAAACTCGGTGGTCTCTGTGGCAGTCTCTGGAACTCGGGGCCACATATGTGGTTCCCACCCTCGTGGGCCATCTCCAGAGAGGGTGGACAGGAGCCCGGGAGGGGTCACTCCCATGCGCCCATCTGTCAAGTTCTCACCAGGCTTTTCTTCCAGGCTCACGTTTGTGGGGTGAGGAACCTTGTTTCTACAAGGGCCACTGGATGCTATCTTTGTTTTGTTTGTGGGCCACCCTGGTATGCTCAGGGCTTACTCCTGGCTCTGTGCTCAGGACTCACTCCCGGCAGAGCTCAGGGTACTGCCATTGGGTATTTGTACCGTCTCTTGTGCCTCGTCAGTGGAGCTGAGGGAGCAGGGGCGGAGGTGATCAGGGTCAGACACAGTGGCTTTGGCAGAGTTGGGCACTGGCTTGTGAGCGCAGTGTGGGCACCCGGGCCACTCAGGCCTCTGCCTGCTGGGAGGTTGCTGCCCCGCCATCCCCTCCGAGACAGCCCAGCACTCATACACACGCCTCTCCCTTCTCGTCCCTCCAGCACCTGGCCGAGTGCCTGCTGCACTCGATCCTCTTGGAGCTGAAGGCTCAGAAGGCATCTCTGGAGCACAGCTACGTCCATGCGCTCTGCCGGGTGTACGTTGGCGTGTGCCGGCAGCTTGGAGACTTGGAGCGGGCGCGCCTCTTCTGCTATAGCCTCCTCAAGGAAGGTGCGTGAGATGGCAGCACGGCCCTGCCCCGTTCAGGTGCCGCTGCCGCCCCTGCAGTGGGGGGGGGGGGTGCCCCATCCTCCCCCAGGATGCGGTTCAAGGAGGCGCAGGGGAGCAGCACCTGGGGCCTGCTCTCCTCCTGGGGTCTGAGTCGGGCCATTGGGAACCATCCCCAGAGCAACCCTGTCCCAACAGATGTACTTCCCGTCACTTCTTCCTCAACTAGGCAGGGTGACAGTCGCTACGAGGTGTGTCCAGCTGTGTGCTGCGCTGCACAAGGACATGAGTTTGTCTGTGTCCCTGCTGCACCGCCAGCCCAGCAAAGTGTCGTCTATGCCACCGAGTGTCTGTAGCACCTTGTGCATGCCACGCAAGGCGGGTTAGAAGTTGCTGGGGCTGCAGGGACACTTCCCTTCCCGTCAGAGTCAGGCTGCAGCCTGAGCGGCTGCAAAGGTCCAGGAGGCCGGAGGAGAGAGAAGGACGTTCTCAGGGGAGCATGGGGAAAGGGGGCGGAGAGTAGGCGCCTCCACCAGCCTGTCCCCGAATACAGAGAAGACGGGTGGGAGTCTGGGGAGTGAGGGAAGCAGAGAGCAGGAGAGGGTATCCATCCAGGAAGCCGTGAGCGGAGAGCCAGGCTCTTGGCACACAGTGTGTGGTCACTGGCCCGTGCAAAGGGCACTGCAGTGCCTGGCGGTTCCCCTCGATGACGGGATGCTGTGTTTGAAGTGACAAGTTGCAGTCAGGGTGGAGGGAGCAACGAGAGACGGTACTCACAATACTTAGGTCCAAAACCGTCAGCGTTACTTCTTAAGTATGAAGACAATCTATAGACAGAAGATGCGAGGGCTGCCAGGAGGAGGTGTGGACAGCAGATGAGAGAGCTCCCAGCCCTCTGCCTGCTGCTTCCCGGGGTGTGTGGGGGTCACTGCTCTTGATGAACACTGGTCTGTGTCCACCCACTGGGTGTCGAGCCGAATGAAAGCGGCATGGGTGATGGGGAGAGCAGTCCTGGACCGTCCTGGACAAGGCTGGGCCTTCGGGTGGGTTGCCCCTTTCCTCTGCAGCTGGTCCTGCCCCACCCAGGTCCCGTTACTAAGTTCCTTTCCTTCCCGATGCTGTGGTGTGAGCGGACATCACGGTTTAGGACCTTCTTTTCTTCCTCGCAGATTTCCCAGAGTCAGAGAAGCTGGCGCTGTTCATCGCCAACATGTGGCATGACATCTTTATCTCTCCGTCGGTCATCAGCAAAGCCATGCAGCTGGTCGCCAGGCAGCGTGCGAAGGGCGAGGTTCTCAACTGCCTGAGGGCCTTCCTCAACTGGGAGAAGGTAAGGCCTGTGCTGCTCGCACAGGGAAGCCGCTTCTCACCTGGGCTCCTGTTCACGGTTGCAAAGCCTCGCCGGCTTTCACTCACTGTTGCTGACATCTGAAAGAACCAAGCATTTCCGCTCTTGCTCAGGCTAAGATGGGAGGCTTCTAGCTTCTTTATTGGGGGGATGGGGGTGAGCAGGAACTACATCCAGCGACACACTCAGGAATCACTCCTGGCAGGCTCAGGGGACTGTATGGGGTCCAGGGATGCAGCCCGTGTCGGCCGCGTGCAAGGCAGACCTCCTCCTCACTGTGCTCGTGCTCCAACCCAGCTTCTCATTGTTTCTAATAGTAAAATGCAATGAGCAGAATACAAGAAGGAAGATTCTGGCAGTTTTCAGTGAGACGCTGTGGTGAGAGGAGCCGATTAGTAACATCTGAAGATTAGTGATTTGTCACGAGTAATTCTAATCTAGTAAGATGCGTGGACTTTGGGTCAGGAAATCAGTAGTTAGTAAAGCAGGGATGGCCTCTGTGAATGCTCCTGCCAGTCAGACTGGGGCCCAGCCCCAGGGCCGGTTTACTGGGCTGTTTCCTGTCAGCACCAGGAGTTAGGGACATGCTGTTCTCTGCGTGGGCCTCTCGGCACAGGGCCGCTGAGCACTGCGTGGGAGTTGGAGCCAGAAAGGACTTGTAGTCAGTAGAGTGTGGCCATTGCCCCTTTAGGAACTTGTTTCTCAGGAGGGGCCTAAAGGTCCATTGTCTAGCACAGACCCAGCCACCCACTGGGCACTGACCCCAAGAAGCCCCATCTGTGTCCACACACACACTCCCTAGGCTGGGCAGCAGCGGGGCTTCGGACAGCTGAGTCTTTAGGAGTAGACGGACGCTGACCGGCAGGACCCATCAGAAGCCACGGCCAGAGCTCAGAGCATGTGGGAACTGGGGTTTCGGGTAGATGCAGAAATGCTCCGGCGAACCTTCCTTATCCCGGTCAGTTTTGTCAATTTGGGGGGAAAAGACTTTGGATCTTGAGTCCGAATGAGGACAGAATTTTCAACACTTCTAAAAATACTTTTCCTTTTCCTAATTCTACGCAGTTCATAGCTTTGCTTCACAACATCTCTTCCCCCAGCCCGATCCTCATCCTGCCTGGCCTTAGGCCACCAGCCTGTAGTCATTGTAGTCATTGCGTGGGGGTCTCTTCACTGAGAGAGGCGTGGTTTGTAGCTAGGACAACTCCCAGAGGGTCTTCCACGCTGGGGTGAGGGACGCCTGGTGCCTGTCGCCTGCTCGGACATGCCATAGCCACGCTCCACTCTGCCCTGTTGTTTCTCCCTGTGCTAGAACGCGCCTGTGGATGTCGGCTTCATGGTCTCCAAGCTGCTTCTGACCGTCCAGTTATGTCCAAAAACAGAGTTTCAGGCCAGTGAGAAGTTCGGAGAGGACCTGAGTGCCAACACGTGGGAGCACATATTCGCCATCGACCTGCTGTGCTGCCACCAGAAGTGGGTGTGGACACACGACAACATCATCAGGTGCTGCCCATGCTTGCCGCAGGGCCCGGGGCTGGGCTGTACACGCCGGCCGCAGGGGCCGAGGATGGGCTGTACATGCCAGCTGCAGGGGACAGGGTTGGGCTGTACATGCCAGCTCCAGGGAACAGGCACGGGCTGTACATACCAATTACAGGGGACAGGAGAGGCTATATACGCCAGCTGCAGGGGACAAGGACGGGCTGTACACGCCAGCTGCAGGGGACAGGCTGCACTGTGTCAACTACTGGGGCCAGGGCCAGGCTGCTCTGGGGTGAGCCCAGTCCGGTCCTTGAGGACAGCTCACACGAGATGTTTTGGTTTGAATAAGAATGCCTAACACTAGACTTAGAGCACTTAAGTCTCATCATATCACTTTTGGTATTTGGGGGTCATTTCCGAGTTCTGTCCTTGCTGTCTTGTCCAGCAGGAGGCAATGCTTATGCCGGGACTGTGGGATGGATGTGGGCTGGTACCTGGGCATGCAGATGGGCTGGGACCCTGCCCAGTAAACTGAGCTCCCAGCCCTCAGCCCCACCAGGCTCTGGGCACCTGCCCGCTTTCCTCTCCAGCTTCCGTCTGGAGAAGGAGACACTTGGTGAGGTGTCCGTGGACCTGCTTGTTTGGGCTTTTCATTGAGAGGCATTCCGTGATGTTGTCGCCACTTCCAAACCCTTGGCTTTGAGACCCTTGAGGTGTGGAGTGTCTGGAACTCTGCTTTGCCTCTTCCCGCCCTGGGGGAGACTGGCCACAGGAGTGCCCAGCCATAGGGCAGGCCCCAGGCGTCCCAGACACGGTGTCCGTGTGACCCCTTGTCTGCTGCCCTAGGCTCCCTCCTCCCTGCTATCAGTGGCCTCCTGCGGCCTTCTCCTTTACACCGTGACTCATGAGTGCAGAGTGCCACCTGCCAGCCTGCAGCCCGCAACTGTGCCGTATCATGTGTCTGCTACAAGGTTTTCGGGGCGCCTCCCACCTGACACATGTGTGCACGCTGCTCTTCTCTCCAGCAAGGAGCTGTGGCCCGTGATGGACAAGTGGGTCAAGTACAGGAAAGGACACCCCAACATCACCTACACGCCCGACATCATCATCGCGTCCATCCTGCGGCTCATTGGTGAGGCATCTGCACCCACACGGCGTGTGTGTGTGTGTGTGTGTGTGTGTGTGTGTGTGTATGTGTGTGTGTGTGTAAGGGGTGTGGGGGTGTGGGGAGTGTGTGTGTGTGGGGGGGGGGTGCTGCACCCAGCTCCTGCCTGGCTGGTGTCCTGCTGTCCAGAGGCGGGTCCTGTGAGTCCTGTCTGTAGTTGGGCTCATGTGTCTTGAGTACTGCTCTTCTCGCACGTGCATGACAGTGGGTCAACATGCCAAGCTGCAGAAGTGCCCCAGGGGACCGCTGGACCTTGCTTGGCTCCCAGAATACACTCCCCTCGCATCCCGGGGAGGCCGACGGCGAGCTAGTCGTGTCCATGCTTCTCTCGGCTGTGCCTGTTGGGGTGCTTTCCAGGAGGCGGGTTCTGGGGGGGTCTCTGGCAGGTCTGGAGACTTGTGGCCAGCACCCCGCTTTCACTTGCACTGTCCCGCTTTGTTGCCTCGTCTCTGCCCGCCTCCCGGGCATCTGCTGTCCTGGGCTCTGCAGGCTGCAGGGGCCTGGATCTGCCCCCCATGGTGGCAGCTCCCTACCTTGAATTGTCCCTCTGCACTGGGTGCCCTGGTCCTGGGATTCACAGGCTGGACACTGCCCCTTTGAGACCTTAGAGAGTTGGGGATGTGGCCACCTCATGTCTCTAGCTCAGCTGACCAGCAGGACATGAGCATCCGCAGAAGAATGGGACATGCTGATGTCCTGGAAGGCATTTGTGTTAGGAGAGGGCAGGAGGCCCTGACCCTCGTGTCTCTCACTGTCCAGGGCAGCAGAAACTTGGCCCTCACGACTCTCACTGTCCAGGGTAGTAGGAATGCTTGCGGCTCTCACTGTCCAGGGCACAGGTACACTCGCGGCTCTCACTGTCCAGGGCAGCAGGAACCTTTGCGGCTCTCACTGTCTAGGGCGCAGGTTACTCTCATGGCTCTCACCGTACAGGGCACAGGTCCCCTCGTGGCTCTCACTGTCCAGGGTGCAGGTACACTCGTGGCTCTTCACTGTCCATGGCAGCAGGAATCTTCGCGGCTCTCACTGTTCAGGGCTCAGGGACCCTCGCCGCTCTCACTATCCAGGGTGCAGGTCCCCTCACGGCTCTCAGGGTGCAGGGCAGCAGGAACCCAGGCCCTCGTGGCTCTGGGCAGCAGCATGGTCCCGGGGGACTGTCTTGTCCACGGCAGTGGCAGCACTCACGGGAGGCCAGTAACCAAGTCAGCCCCCGGCGAGACTGTGGCTGTTGGAGCCCTCCAGAGAGAGAGGCTCCAGGTGGCTCCCAGTTCAGAGCTCAGTGCTCAGCAGGAAGGACAGGGCAGGGCTGTGGGGCCTCAGCAGGCGACGGTGGTGTCATGCCTGTCCATCCGGTTCTAGGACAGGATGCTCGTGCTTGCTTAGGGTCGTCTGTGTGCATGTGGGCCGCACCTTGAGGTGCCCAGGCCTTACTCCCAGCTCGGCTCAGGGATCACTCTGGGGAGTAACCCGAGGGTAATTGAGAAGAATGTGTTAGTAGCTTATTTAAAAGCAAGGATAGGGAGAGAAATCTGACTCGCAGCTCTAGTCAGATCAAGGCTAATTTGTTCCCTCAGCCTTCAAGTCTTGGGCTTCTGGTAAGTAGGGTACGTTGTTCAGTTGCATTGTCAACCTCCCGTGGTCTCTGACACAGTTATACCCCCAGGAATGACTGGCTGTGTCAGTGCCTGTTTGATGGGAGAGTGGGCCCAGAGGTAACTGCTGGGGAACAAAGCAGAAGAGCAGAGGCCACACTGGCCAGTCAGCCGCCTGCGCTAAAGGCCCCGCCTGGACAGAGCTGTGCAATGGCAAAGATATGGCTGGGCAGGATTCTGCCATTACCTCAGCGGGGAGAGAGGGGATGTGGACGCCTGTGTGCGCACATGCCCACCGGTCACTCCCGGTCTTGGTAGAAGAGGGATTCTGAGTGCTCATCAGAACGTTATGCAGTTACCTATTTTTATTTTATTTTTTGGTTTTTGGATCACACTTGGCAGTTCTCAGGGCTTACTCCTGGCTTGTGCTCAGGGATCACTATGGTGTGCCAAGGATGGACCTGGGTCGGCTTCAGGTCAGGCAGGCACTGCTGTACGCTGTACTCTCTCTCCAGTTTATCATTTTATTTTGCAATTTGCAAAAGTCTCAATCACCTGGATTCATTCTTCTTGGGAAATCAAGCTAGCTGTTCCCCCAGAGCTGTGCATGACTGCTCAGCTGAGGCCAGTGGTTCTGGGGTCCTAAGCTTCCTTCTCCCTCACCATTTCTCTCCCACTACGTGCAGGGGGGAGGCAGAGCTGGGGGCTGTGGCCTGGGCCGGTCTCGACACTGGCCTCTGCCCAACGTCACTCCCAACCTTGGTGGAAGAGGAATTGTATAGACATTCAGTTCTGTCTAGCATCACGCTTGGCTGCCCCCATAGCACGCGTGCTTGCACACACACACACACACACACACACACACACTGTGGGGACATGAGGCATGAGAAGTGAGGGAAGGGGCCCCACTTCTCACTCTCAGAGTTGATGAGTAACTCACCCGAGACACACAAGCATGCATGAACGCTGGGCCCCTCATTAGGCCTCTGAGTGTGTGTGTGTGTGTGTGTGTGTGTGTGTGTGTGTGTGTGTGTGTCTGGTTTTCTGGGTCGGGAGAGGACCGGCTGGACTCTCGGGCACAGGTCTCAGCACGGTGACTGTGGTGTGCTTCTCCCCAGGCCGCCTGGGCCAGCTGGGCCTGAAGGAAGGGTTTCCGTCTGCGGTGAAGAACATCAGCTCGGTCATCGGCATGTTCATCCAGCATGCCCGCGACGAAGGTGAGCCTGGGCTGCACTCCCCTCTGGCTCTCGGCGCCCTTTGCTCCTAAGGGTCGGCCTGATGCGGCTTCCCTCGTGGTCCTGCCCGTGGGGGACAGTGGGTTTCAGGGCGCCCTCCTGTGTTGCCTTTCAGCAGTCGTGTTTGCCCAGGCAGCCTCTCTTCACCAAGACATTGGGAGCGCAGCCAGGAGTAGATGGAAGGAATAAGCCATTCCCGTGCATGATCTGGGAGTTCAGAGTTGACTCACTTGGTCACCAGCTCAGGTCTCCTCTAGTAACTGGAATGAAGATCCTGCCCGCTAAGCCGTGCTCTTTGCTGGCTGCAGCCCCACCTGCCTGTGGCTGCCGTGGCTGACTGTGTGTCTGCTCGTGGCTGCCGTGTGCTGACTGTGTCTGCTCGTGGCTGCCGTGTGCTGACTGTGTGTCTACTCGTGGCTGCCGTGTGCTGACTGTGTGTCTGCTCGTGGCTGCCGTGTGCTGACTGTGTCTGCTCGTGGCTGGCTGCCATGTGTTGACTGTGTGTCTGCTCGTGGCTGCCGTGTGCTGACTGTGTGTCTACTCGTGGCTGCCGTGTGCTGACTGTGTGTCTGCTCGTGGCTGCCGTGTGCTGACTGTGTCTGCTCGTGGCTGCCGTGTGCTGACTGTGTGTCTACTCGTGGCTGCCGTGTGCTGACTGTGTCTGCTCGTGGCTGCCGTGTGCTGACTGTGTCTGCTCGTGGCTGCCGTGTGCTGACTGTGTCTGCTCGTGGCTGCCGTGTGCTGACTGTGTGTCTACTCGTGGCTGCCGTGTGCTGACTGTGTGTCTGCTCGTGGCTGCCGTGTGCTGACTGTGTCTGCTCGTGGCTGCCGTGTGCTGACTGTATGTCTGCTCGTGGCTGCCGTGTGCTGACTGTGTCTGTTCGTGGCTGGCTGCCATGTGTTGACTGTGTGTCTGCTCGTGGCTGCCGTGTGCTGACTGTGTGTCTACTCGTGGCTGCCGTGTGCTGACTGTGTGTCTGCTCGTGGCTGCCGTGTGCTGACTGTGTCTGCTCGTGGCTGCCGTGTGCTGACTGTGTCTGCTCGTGGCTGCCGTGTGCTGACTGTGTGTCTACTCGTGGCTGCCGTGTGCTGACTGTGTGTCTGCTCGTGGCTGCCGTGTGCTGACTGTGTCTGCTCGTGGCTGCCGTGTGCTGACTGTATGTCTGCTCGTGGCTGCCGTGTGCTGACTGTGTCTGTTCGTGGCTGGCTGCCATGTGTTGACTGTGTGTCTGCTCGTGGCTGCCGTGTGCTGACTGTGTGTCTACTCGTGGCTGCCGTGTGCTGACTGTGTGTCTGCTCGTGGCTGCCGTGTGCTGACTGTGTCTGCTCGTGGCTGCCGTGTGCTGACTGTGTCTGCTCGTGGCTGCCGTGTGTTGACTGTGTGTCTGCTCGTGGCTGCCGTGTGCTGACTGTGTCTGCTCGTGGCTGCCGTGTGCTGACTGTGTCTGCTCGTGGCTGCCGTGTGCTGACTGTGTCTGCTCGTGGCTGCCGTGTGCTGACTGTGTGTCTGCTCGTGGCTGCTATGTGCTGACTGTGTCTGCTTGTGGCTGCCGTGTGTTGACTGTGTGTCTGCTCGTGGCTTCTGTGTGCTGACTGACTGCTCGTGGCTGCCGTGTGCTGACTGTGTGTCTGCCCGTGGCTGCCGTGTGCTGACTGTGTGTCTGCTCGTGGCTGCCGTCTGCTGACTATGTCTGCTCATGGCTGCTGTGTACTGTGTCTCTTCTCATGGCCACCGTTTGCTGTGTGTCTGCTCGTGGCTCTCCTGTGCTGACAGGGTCTGTGCTTGTAGCTGCCTGCTGTGTGCGGTGAGTTCTCTCCTGGCTGCCGTGTGCAGAGTGTGATCCTGCCGTGGCTGCCATTCAAAGCTGTCACTCCTGGCTGTACTCTGTGGCAGTGTTGGACACAGGTGGCTTTGATCTCACTGGGCTTCATTCCAGATAGTGTGGGCAGTTTGGTGGCATGGACCATGGACTCACTTTTTGGGTCACGGCTTTGGGACCCTTGATTTAGTAAAGCTTATCCAGTCTTGGACAGAGGCTAGCCCCTGAGTCACCTGTGCAGTTCCTGGTTGCTCATGGTGCCTGGGCTCGAGGCCATGAGAGATGAGCTCTCTGTGCTCTTGTGTTCCAGGGGAACGGGCTCACGTGTTCTTACTGTGGTTCCCGTGTGTCCCTGGGGCGCAGGGCTCACACGTTCTCATCATTGTTCCCTTGTGATCCCATGTAGCATGTCTCTTGTCGAGTGTGTCTGAAGTTTCCTGGACTCCAGGCTGCATCTGAGTGGCTTTTCAGGAGCTGGAGCACTGTGAGATTGTTTTCTCAAATAGTGGCCCCTGTGTCTGTCCTTTTCAGATATCCCCTGGGGCATCCAGCTGGCTGCTGTGTACGCATTGTGTGACCTGAGCCCCAGCAATCCGGCGGAAATCTCCAAGATCCTGGAAGCCTGGCGTAAAGAGACGTCACACAGCGTGCCGGCAGCCGTGGCGGGCTGCCTGGAGGAGGTGAGCTCCTTGTGTGCAGAGGGGCTCAGCTGAGTGGGGAGCAGTGCCTTGACAGCTCTCGGGACGGACCCACAGGGCTGCAGCCAGAGAGGCCTGCGCCTGGTAGGTATGCCCCAAGCTCGGCCGATGGTTTGTGAGCAGAGGGCCCGGGGCCCTCGTGTGAGGTCTTGGTCAGATAACAAGAACTTGAACTTGCCCTTTTTTGCTGCAGAAAGTGTCCTTCTAGTCGCCTTTGTGATTGAGTGGTGTTTTGTGATGAATTTCATGTAAAACTGCATTGGGTTGGTTTGGGAGCTCTTCTTGGACTTGGCCCTTGCGGACTGACCAGAAAAAGACACTGACTGAAGCCGAGCAGCAGCTCTGCCGACGCCCAGTGAGAGGGTTGTGGGCTCCCCAGGGCAGAGCCCACCACCGGCCGCTCGCTGCTGCCCGCTGTGTCCACTCTGATGAGCCGGGTGTGGGCGTCGCACATACGCCCACCCCTCTGCCATGGGCATCGGGGCAGCTTGATAATGTGGATCACATTGGATAATATTCCACTTCGGAATTTTAGTATTTGTATATAGAAATGGGGTTCATAACTCACCGTGGCTCTGATCTGTCTTGTATTCATTCTTTCTTAAAATTCTTGTATGTGTTTTTTTATAATAAACTAAAAGTGAGCCGTACTTTTGATCGTCCTGGTATCCTTCCAGTCACACAGATGTGAAGCTGGGCCCCATGGCACACACTTCAGCCATGCATGTGCCAGCGACAAGGGACGTCTGCTGTGTGAACAGATACAGGGGACATCTGCATGTGTCCTGACCGCCCGCTCCTAACCACATTGCTCTTTTCCTGTTGCTTACTGGACGTTACTGGGCCCGAGCTCGCTGCTCAGGCCCTGGACGGGTTTAGGAGCAAGGTTAAGGATTCCCAAGGAGAAGCAGCCCAGCGGGGAGACTCGGGAAAAGGCCCCTACCTGCTCCAGCTGCTGAATCCCCTTGGAAGCACATGCGCCAGCCCTTCTGCATCCCCACTCTGCCCCGCTACTTCATGCCGGCCAGCCCCACAGCTGTGTGGGATAATCGCTTAAAACAGATCTCTGTGTTCAGATGCAGACACTTACAGTTTAGATACAAATTTCTGTTTCTATCTCTAAGTATCCAGGCATATACAGAGGTGATATTTATGCATGCATAAATATTAAGGTTCTCAAAAGACACAGAAACACATAACCCTGAGTCCAAAGAGATAGGGCAGTAGGGCACTTGCCTTGTACGCGGCCAACCTGGGTTCAATCCCTCAGCCTGCCAGGAGTAAATTGTGAGCACAGAACCTGGAGTAAGCTCTGAGCACAGAACCAGAAGTAAATCATGGGCACAGAACCAGGAATAAGCCAGAATATGGAACCAGGAATAAGTCAGGAGCACAGAAGCAGGAATAAACCTTGAGCACAGAACCAGGAATAAGCCATGAGCACAGAACCAGAAGTAAGTCATGAGCACAGAACCAGGACTAAGCCATGAGCATGGCCAGATGTGCTCCTGCCCCACCCCTTCCTCCCTCCAAAAAGAAACATCCCTGAGTCATTCCCTGAGGATTTGCATTTCTGGAGAGCCTGCACTATTTGAAGACTAGATGGATGGTTGGGTGGGTACACGCGCATCTGTAGAGGAGTGGTTGTGAGGGCGAGATTAACGCCTTGACAGTCTACAACTAACCTGAAGTTCTGACTAGGCCTACGTTTCTGTTTCCCAGAGATAGAACTTGCAGTTTCTGGTAAGCTCTCAGGCCTTTGGAGGGGACACTCCTTCTGCCTCAGGAGGGCAGGGGACTGGCCCTCCTCAGCCTGTGGGTCTCACACCAGCTGCAGCTGCTGGCTCAAGGGGCGCTGCCTCTGCACCCCGAGACGCCTCTGTGCCTTCCCAGGACAGCAGCACCCTCCGCTCGGGACCCCGGGAGCCCTGGAATCTGCTCTGTGTGTATGTCTGTGTGTTTGTATGTGTATGTATATATATGTGTGTATGTGTATGTGTGTATGTGTTTATGTGTGTATGTGTATGTATTGTATATGTGTGTTTGTGTTGTATATGTGTATATGTATGTTGATGTATGTGTATGTGTATGTGTGTGTTGTATATGTGTATGTGTTGTGTATGTGTGTATGTGTTGTATATGTGTACATGTATGTGTGTATGTTGTATATGTGTATGTGTGTTTGTGTTATATATGTGTATGTGTGTATGTGTTGTATGTGTATGTGTACGTGTGTATATGTATGTGTGTATGTGTTATATATGCGTACGTGTATGTGTGTATGTGTATGTGTGTGTGTGAGTGTATGTGTGTGGAGGGGACAGAGAGGTGGGTCACCCTAGCCGGGTCCCCTGAGAGGACAAGGCCTTGGGGTGAGCTGGAGAGGGCTCTCCAGGCCGTGTCCGGGTTCCTGCTTGCTGCCCTGCGGCTGGCTCTTGGGGTCACCAGGCTCCTTGGCACCAGTCTTGCCCCTTCTCTAGTCGCCTGCCCACGCACATTTCCTGCAGAGGGAGGGAGCCGGGCTGCTGCAGGAGGATTTGCCTCAGTGCTGTTTGCTGAGCCCGCACAAGACAGCCCTGTTCCCTGGTGCCCCGTCTCCCATGGCCTCTCCCTACCCAGCCTCTGTCCAAAGAGCCAGCCTGAGACAGGCCTGCACCCCCTGGGGCCATCAGCTGCTGCTCCCTCGGGCCAGGTCCCATGGGCTGTGCTGGGGCCCCATTGTGTCCCACGGGCTGTGTACGGGGCCCTGTTGTGTCCCGTGGGCTGTGTGCAGGGCCTTCCCTCTGCCTCTGCCCGCCTGGAGCCGCACTTCCTCTGCCTGGTTTCGGACCCTTTCCAGAGGAACTTCGGTACTGAGTTCCTCTGGTATGCTCCAGCGCCTCATGTGCCCGGCTGAGAGCTCGCTGCACGTCCCACTGATGGCCATGGCCTCTCTGGGGAGACACTGATTCCCCATGAAGGCTCTGTTCTTTGTTGAGTTGGGGGAGAGGTTCACGCCTGGCAGCGGCTTGGGAAGAGCAGAAAGCTTTTGCCGTGTGCAGTGTCCATGTCAGCCATGGAGAACTCAAAGATGAAGCAGTGCTGGGCTCCCTCAAGGTGCTGCTTCTCCCCGGGCCACCGGGAGGTCCCAGTGGCTGCGGGGCATGACGGAGGGGCGGCCATAGTGCAGGGTGCAACTGCTCCGGGCAGTCCTGTGTGTGCCTGTCCGTGCCCGGCCCCCACACAGACCAGCCATTGGACGTACCCAGGACCGGGGCTGTGGAAACTCCGGTCTCCAGAGCTTTGGGTCAAAATCATGTCTGTAAGAGCAAACCTGCGAGAAGCAGGGCCGTGCCGTGGGCAGCGAGCGTGAGCTGTCAGGCAGACGAGGACCTCCACGTCCAGCATTCTCACTAAGCAGAGTGTAGTTCTCGTGTGTCACCTGAGCCGAAACATGTGCCATGACCGGCTCGGGACCCAGGGAGAAAGGGCTCTTCCTGAGAGCACGCTGGGTCCGGGTCTGTCTGTTCTCCTGTTTGCAAGACTCCCGTGTGGTCTAGCTCCTGTTGTCCTAGGGGGCTGCGAGCCACAATCTCAGTTGCAATTATGTGGCGCATTTTCAGCTGATATTTATTTACATAATAACATAATGGGCCATTGCCCTGAACAAGCTTGGAGAGAGCAGATGTCGGCACCATGGCAGGCGCTGCGGCCGTTTCTCCCAGCGGCCTCAGGTACTGCCTTCTTTGGAAGACTCAGGAGGGGTCTCGAGGGCTCTTATTCCCCCAGCCGGAGAGGAGAGACCACACGGCAAGGCTCAGAATGAGCTCTCGGTTCACAGGCACTCCCAGAGCAAATGATTTTAGTGTGATATTCCATCATGTCCCCACCTCCAAGCCCCCACCCACTGCCCCAGGGTCATTGGTGCAAAGCAGAACTGCCTGGAAAGATGCATGGCAGAAGGACACCACGGGCGGACCCCATGGGTGGATGATCCCAAGGGCAGTGACCCTAGGAACCAGACCCGGGGCCCATGGGCGGATAATTTTTTGGTTCTCTTCCCAGCCAAGTCTCACCCCCACACTCAGCCCTCGGGTGGTCTCCAGGATCTCTCTGCACTGTGTTCCACGTGGCTGTGGGGTCTCTCCCACTGTGCAGGGGCCTGACCAGGACCCCCCGGAAGTCCTCCCTGATGTTCATCCTATACTTAATCTTCTCCTTCAGTGCCCGATATTGGCTTTAAATGGCCAGAAAGAGCCTATGAATAACATGCTATTTGCGCTATATTGTAGAATGATTTCCGCAGCTATTCTGAAAAATCAGGCAGTTTTTGGAACCCTGAAACGCTGAAGTGGAAAGAATGATCCTGCACACCTCTAGGTGATTAGGAAGTCAGAGTCCTGTGAGTCCTTGGGACTTGCCCCAGTGCCTGTCTCAAGGACAGCTGGCTGTGGACTCCTCTAGGGGGACCGTGGCAATGAACAGATGTCTGGAGAACTTGGAGGGGGAGAAATCCAGAGTGTCTGGGTCATCCAGAGAAAGGCAGGGGCAGGTGGTGGAGCCTGTCAGGCCTACAGGAAGCACAGACAGACCAAGCCGCAGACCGTGGCTGCCACTGCCTCGGGAGGCAGGACTCCCATGGGCACTAGAGGGCCAGGTCCACATAGCTACAAGGTGGCAGGATTCTCACGGGCACTCAAAGGACAGGTGCGCATGGCTACAGGTCCATCCCTTCCTGGGTGAGGGGTTATCATCAGATGCCATTTGGAGTGTTCATATTCCTGCCAACAGTAGGACGCTGTGACGCTGGAACAAATGCAGACTCCGGCTAAGGGATAGAACGGAGAGCCCCAAAGTAAACCCTCATATTTACCTGTGACAAAGGAACGTGTGTGAAGGAACGCCTCTTCAACAAAGGGTGCTGGGGAAACTGGCTAGTCACAGAAAAAGAGATTGACCTTTTCCTACACTCGAAGGGTTAATTCAAAATGGGTGAAAGACCTTGAGCTTAAGATTCAAAGCCATAAATCTGCCCAGGAAACCATAGGCAGGACTCTGTGCCTCAGAGGTTTTGTCCATGATTCAGCTCCATCGGCAAAGAAAACAAAATAAAAAACAAATGGGACTTGACCAAACAAAAAAATGTCCTGTACCGGGAAAGAAAAGGCCCTCCCGTTGATCATCGATTTGCTCGAGCGGGCCCAATAGCGTCTCCATTGGAGACTTTGTTGTTACTGTGTCTGGCATATCGAATACGTCACGGGGAGCTTGCCAGGCTCTGCCGTGCGGGCGAGATACTCTCGGTAGCTTGCCGGGCTCTCCTAGAGGGGCGGAGGAATCGAACTCGGGTGGGCTATGTTGGCTGCGTGCAAGGCAAACACCCTACCGCTGTGCTATCGCTCCAGCCCTTACAACAGCAAATATCAAACAACAGATGACTGAACGGGATTCAGAAAGTTGTGTGGGGGGTGGGGTGGGGGAGACAGTGAGATGGGGAGTGAAAACATTCCAGCTGAGGGTGTGGGGCTGAATGTTGTATGCGAACCCTCATCAGCCATCAGCAGCACTAGTGTAGATCACTGTGCTGAAACTGTGTCAGCTAATAGGAGAGGAGCACTTCTTTCTTGAAAACAGGCATATGAAAATTGTTCCTTATTGCTTGTTATC